ACATGTCTCCAAGCTGAGGTCAAATCGCTACTTTTTGGGGTGCAGCAATGTCTTCTTCAGGGCTTCTCACGGATACAGGTGGAGGTGGACTCTCTTGTTTAGTAAACATCCTACTAAATAAATCGAGGTGCCCATGGTTAATTCGGTCAGAGCTAGATACGTTATTGGCAATACAGGGCTTGGAATAGACAGTGGGGCATTGTTATCGCGAGGCAAATCAGGTGGCAGATGCTTTAGCCAAGATGGGGGCACAGTCTGAGGATATTGTCATATATACATCACAGTCGGATTTACCAAGATTGGCGAGGAGGACCTTGGGTTTAGATAGATCACAAACCCCCGTCATACGCATCAGAGCTGTTCGCAAACAAAGCCTTTTGTAATTTTGCTTTGTGCTCATTAATAATATAAGAGGGTGGCGTCCCTCCTCGCATATGGGGTTAGCCAAATAAAAAAAAAAAGTATATCGTTTATTCATTCTTTAGGCACTGTTTGGATTGAAAGAAAGGGAAGGAAATAAAAGAAAAGTACTCTAGTGGAAAAGAAAAGAAATGAGAATAGAGAAAACTAAAGTCCATCCATCTTATTTAGATTACAAAAAAAAGGAAAAGAAACTACTATGCATTAGTTACATTTTTATTAATAATTTATAAGTCTAATTTATAAACACATAATAGGTTTTTTAGAAAATTTTTATTAATCTTAGTATTATTTCTCTCTATTTTCAGTCACTTTTGAATGGAAAGTAGGCTGACAATAAATAAATAAATAAATCTTTTCACTCTCTTTTCATCCTTGTTCTTTTTTTTCTCTTCAAAAATCAATTCAAATATCAAAAACCTTATCCCTCCATTTTCTTTTGTTTCCTTTCTCTCCCATTCTTTGAAAACAAACAAAGCCTAAATCCCAATCTTAAAAAAATGCTGAATTTTCACGGTTGAGATTTTGAAAAATATACCAATACATTATCCCCTAAATATAGACCTAACTAACAATACCAATGTGCTACTTCTCACAGTAGAAAAAATTTTCACCATAGGAAATGCAAATGGTAAAGAAAAGTCACGGTCATAGATGATAAAGATAATTTCAAGAACCTCTCTTGAAGTTTTCGACGATTTCATTGACCTCTTCTAAGATTTGGAAAATTACACTTATCTCCCCTAGCAAAATAAGAGGTTCATTTCCTGACATCACCTAGCATGAAATTACTCATGTACCCCAACACATTATCTGAGATTAGAAACTAAAATTTTAAAATTAAGTAATTATGGCACAAATCAACTAATTAACGGAATTATCTCTTAATAGTATGAACAATAATGTGGAAGATACAAAATGGTGCCATTTGCTACACCAATTGGCACCATTTTGTGATTGACAGGATTTAACATGACCATATTACAATCGTATACAAGAAAGGCTTGGGTAGAACAAAGGAAGCACAAAGAAAAGAAATAGAAAAACAAGTCTATTCTTGAGGAATTTTCCCCCTTGGTTTAGCAACTAAAAAGATGGTCTTTGTATTAGAGTAATTTTGTGGAAGTGGTTGAGAAACAAGGTAGAAGAAAGACAAAATTGGATTTTTTTTCTGTGTTAAATCACAAAAGGCATACCCAAAGTCAGGTAAACAATCTCTACTATACTCAGTTTAATATTCAAAAGCCATAATCTTAGTTGAAAATCATGAAACCTTTTAAGACAATCATGACTAAAATACACCTTGATTGATAATTATTTGCAACGGATAATTGTTTTTACTAATACACCTTGACTGGAATGTATAAGGGGCATTTGTGAAACAAAATTTCATCTCTCTCCTAAAAGTCATTTTTTTTAATCATACTCTTTCATGAATGAACTGATCTTGTTATCAAACCATAAACCTCAAAGGATGTTAGTGTAATTTTCCAAACCTCAAGAGAGGTTAGTGAAATTATTAGAAATATCGGGAGAGTTTTCTAAATTTATCCCTTGATAATAATATGACCCAGGCCCAGACTGCAGCTAGAAGGGTACATGAGCACGTGACATCGTGTGAATGATGCTGAGTGACACAAATTGCACGGACGGACAATGACATCTTGCTAAGTTGCACGGACAAACATCATCTTCCTGGGGAGGGGCGGCACAAGTTTACATGCATTCACAGCAAATTAATCCGCAAAAGTTTGACAACCGACTAGGATGTGAATCTCTCCATGTAAAATGTTATCGTTTTCACCCAAAAAAAAAAAAAAGACCAGGACGTGATTCTCAACCTTCCATCCTTAAGTGCACTGTAGATACCCTTTTTAGGTAATGTCGTTTAGTTTATCCAAGAGAGAAAGAAAACAAGCACTAACTGATTATTCATGTTTGGGAGCAGTTACAAAATTCGTCCTGTTCAAACCAACATTCAGAGAATACTCATCGCACACTTGATTAGGTTGGCCTTGTTTTCATCTTGTTTTAGTAATGGCATAATAGAAATCTCTAGACGTTACTCCTTATCTCTGTTTTTAAACTTGGACCGGACTGGCTGATCGAACGGAAAATGGCCATTTGTCCGGTTCGAGTTAATCCTAAAAATCGAAAAATTAAAAATTCGATCAAACCAGGTCAAAAATCGGATTTGATCGGGTTTGACCCGGTTGGACCGGAAAAATAAGAATCGAGTAACTTTTTTTTTTTAACTTTTTTTGAAAGGTCAAAATATTTTTAATATTATGTTTTGCCCCTTAGGTTGTTAAAAATTATTAATATATGTCAAATATTTCATACTTTATAAATGTTCTCTTAAAGTTTAGTGTTATTTTTCAATTCAATCCTTAATTTTAATTCTAAACTTATTAATGCTCATTAAATAATATAAATTGCTACTTGATTGTTCTAATTTCTTTATATTTTCTTGTTAAATATATCTGAAACATCAAATATATATGAATATACCTTTATTAATATTAACATGTTATTAGATATTTTACATATAATATTTAATTTTTAAATAATTTTTATTTATGACATCATCCGGTTCAATTCCGATCGAATCCGGTTGAACCCATTGACCCCTGAGTTCGATCGAGTCGATACCCTGTCCGGTTCTGAAAACATAACTCCTTATGAGGCAAAAGAGTAGTGTTGTCTTTGTGGGTCTACCCAACTTTGCTTCTGTTTCTAGTAATTCTATAGGAAAGTTGAACATGTTTTAAAGGAATCAAGGCCTCCTTAGTTGATTGTTTAGTTCAGTCTAATTATTGAAGTTCTTACAACATTGAGCATAAATTCGTACAACTTTGATGTAATGATGAACTAAGTGTAAGAGTTAACAAAATTTGTGTTTATATTATCATTTTATATCAAACATTGTGTGAATTAAACAAAAGTTTAATTGGAGAGACCCCAAATTTATTTTAAAGCTGGTTTAACAAAAGTTGAACAAAGTTCAACTAGATGGAACTAAACAAAAGTTCAACTAAAGAGACCCAAAATTTTGATAAAATTACTTAGCAATGTAAAATACCATGTCGGACCAAAAAAAGATATTTGGTTAAATTAAATATAACTTTTGGATCAGATGCATCCTTATGCCACTAATCCAACTTTTACGCGCAAAACTCCCATTTTTTAAAGTACACTCTAAATCACTTTTTCAGTTAGTTTAACAATTCATGCAAGTTTTAAATGACTTAAATATGTGATCTAGCCCTTCATAACAAATCAAAAATTAATAATTATATAAAATGAGGGGTTGAGTTCTTTGATCTTCTCATTTCTTGCCAAACCTCAAAAGGTATCTTTTGCCTTGCTACTTGAACCCTACAAAAAATAAACATTACAAACACACTTAAAAACATATAGTAAACATGAAAATACACTAAACTGAAATAAACTAATACAAACAATTTATCACCAATAATGTCATGAGTTTATTTTATGCTTGTTATCATGAGTTTATATGCCAGGATTTCAAGATTGTCATTGTGTGAGTCTAGCATTTTGCTTTTGAAAAACTTAATTTCTTATAAATTGGAGTTTATCATCCCAAACTTTCTTTAAATTCATGGAGTGTATTGTTCTTAGTTTGTTTGTGTAAGTTATGTGATTGGTGGATTAATGAATGTGAAAATCTTCTTATAATGTTTTGCTTAGTTCTAGTTTTTGCTAGGTGTAAGTAATACGTTTTTCTTTCATATTAGTAAAAGAAAGTGATATGATTGTTGATCATGCAAAACCTACTGTAGTGTTTTGTAGTACTTAGTAACTAAGGGTTTTCATAAAAAAAATGTCTGTTTTTGTATAAAACAGTACTAGAATTAAGAGTATGCAAAATAGTGAGAATTTGTGATTTGATCGAGTAATGGCAGACATTCATCTATCAATGTTTGCTTTTGCATCGAAAGATAAGTTCACTACTTGAGTAAAACTTAATAAGAACTACAAAAAGAAGAAATGAATGAAGAGAAAGAAAAGGTGCAATTAATGTGTGAGGATTTTCATATTAATTGTCCTTGTTTGTATAAATTTTAAGAGGTGGTTACCAGTTTAGTTTTTATATTTATTGATTATGCTAATTATATAGCTAGCATGATTAAATTAGAAGTGATGCATGATATTGAGACTTGATCAAATGATGGTATGATAGGTTTTTTTTTTTTTGTAACCATTATCTTTCTAGAGCAATTTCTATATAAACTCTCAACAATTTCACTGACACTTGAACACTATGAATAACAATATCCTTTTCTAAAGTTCATCAGTTTCCACTTGTCGTTGTACAGATTTTTTTTTAACAAAAACAGTAAATTTTATGTTGTACAAATATTATTCTCCATTGTTTCTTTTTGGGAGGGTCTCTTTCGGGCTAGTCGTACCAAAAGAAGAAAAGGAATAAAGTTTTTGGACCTAGCTAGTCTTTCCTTAATCGCTTATGCGCTGCACAGTATATTCTATAATTGAAATTGAGACTTAAAGGGGAAAAAAAGAATATAAAGGCTTTGAGGATTATCATTTCTCTGTACATCTTGCCTGAATAATCTATCTTTAGGGTTTCTACTAGTGTCTTTCGTACCCAGTATTTTCCAGCTTTTCCCACCCACCATCTTGCAGATCTGAGGCATCCCAGAAAAGGTTTTGTCTGGTTTTCCATTTTTGGGGTCAATCAATTCCATTCCCACCCGGTTCTTTCTGTTTTTGGAAACTTTTCTTTTGTTCATGGGGTTATATTAGTTTTTTAATTCTTGATTAAATGCATTTTGGTTGTTTGTACGTCGACCCTTCATGGAGTCACTGATTTCTCTTTCAGGGTTGTTGGTGGATTTGATTTTGCACCTTGTTTTTTTTATCTAAAATCGTAAGAATGGTGAGAGGGAAAACTCAGATTAAGAGGATAGAAAATTCAACAAGTAGACAAGTGACATTCTCAAAGAGGAGAAAGGGACTTCTCAAGAAGGCCTTTGAGCTATCAGTTCTTTGTGATGCGGAAGTTGCACTGATCATTTTCTCCCCCAGCGGGAAGCTTTTTGAGTTCTCAAGTTCCAGGTACATTAACCATCAACATTTGCACATGATCTGCTCATATTCTCCATCTATCTCTCTTTTTTGTTATTAATATTTCTCCCTTTGATCAAAATGGTATCATCTTCATCAAATTTTATGTCCACTTTTACAACGGTTGACCATAGATCATTCCAAGTATTTTCTGAAGCTTTTATCAAAGCCAAGGGATCAGGGATCCCTTATCTTGTTTTATATCCGTTTCTATGAAATCAATTTTTACCAATAAATGCAGCTTTTAATGAGTTTGACTTAAGCTATTTTTCCCCTCTTAGCATCTGTAGTATCTACTTCCCCTCCTTTAATGGGATTTAGATATTATTAAGTCCGGAGGCGGAAATACTAGATCCTTAGAAGCACCCAAAAATTAGATAGACAAAATACGCATAACGAGAGAAACCAATGTCATCAATAGTTGCAATTCTGCAGCATTTTTTTACATGATATTTTGTAAGTCAAGTTGTCAATTAAAATCAGTAGCATGAGATATTCTCCTAGAGCAAAACTTATGAGACACGCATTTTCATCCCAACAACCGCTTTCGTAGTAGTTCTTAGAATACATCGTGTAAATAGAGTACAAGGGGTTGTACTGTCATACTTGTTTTTCTACAACGAAAGTAAAAGTTTTAGTCTATCTGGAATGCAAGTGGAAGTGGTATCATGTCAATAATGAATCCAGTAAGAAGCTGTCGAGCTTTTGTACTTGTTCTTGAAACAGTCCAACCTCGCCAGCCTATATGCATTAGTACTACGAGGAAGTGGACCTTCTTATCTCCTAAAAGTTAGCTTTTTTATTGTTCAAGTTGATTAAGAGTGTGTCTCGTAATGTTTACGATCATGTACAGACACATAATTTGCCCGCAAATGCTGGCATATTAATCAGTGTACAAGAAAGAAGAATTTTTATTTTGGCCTACAGCAAAGAAGATTATTAACATTACTGATGCATTTTAAAGAGATCAGTTAACATAATCTGAGGGCAATGGATGTATGACCATATACCAAGAGATATATATGTTGGTTAGCCAGAATCTAGTGAATAAAGCCAACCGCGGTGATGTATCATTAAACCCTGAAATATTAACTTCATAAAACTATAAAATGATGCCATATCTCGAGAAATTCTAAGTTTCCATCTTAGTTGCTATAAGAGCAGAACAAATAGAAAATTATTTCTTATTTAGATTCTTCGTTGAAACAATGCGAATAGTGTACTTTGATCTCAAGAAGACAACAACAAAATAAATCCTCTTAGACCACTTATATTGGATGTAGGGATAGTAATCTTCTATCATATTGGCCTTTTTTACTTCATTTCTAATGACATTATAGATTCTCAAGCTAAATAAGAATATTACGCATATTTCGTCACACTATGAACAACTATGAATAGTAGTGCTTCGAAGCCTATGGACCGAGAAGATGAAATACAAAACTACTTAGGCCAAAGACCTTGGAAGCATATATATTAATTGAAGATTGAGTCATCATCCAGGATTTTAGAGTGTATAGTAGATGCCAAAGTGATAAGCCAAATTATAATACCTTATTTATTTCTTACAACCAAACTTTGTAGTCATGACTCAGGATCTCTAGGTCAAAGTGTTGAAAAGTACCAAATTGTGGAATCTAAGAGTTACGGGTTCTCATTCAAGTTCACTTTTGTTTGATTCATTAGTACTACATAAAACTAAATACGTGGTAGTGAACCTTTAATTTCAAATATCCATGAATCCTAAAATACATCACCAGTGGTGATCATCACTTCCCAATAATGGCACTATTTCTTAAGTATTGTGCCGCCCATGATATACATCATTTCTGTCCATGAGGGCATTTTTGTCCATGAAATATGAGTTATCCAGCATCACTTGAGAGACACATAGCAATAAGGATACTGAGCAGTATTAATGGTGAAAACAATGGTTCTCTCAAGGTGGAAGATAATCAAATAATTTAGACATCTATGGAAATTATTGGCTTCTTCTATCTTCTTTTTGTGTAGCAAAGGTCACATCACATTTGCACATTATGAAACTTTTAGCTTTCTAGCTAGGCCAAATTTGACCATTTGACACATTTGAAGCACGTGGTGGAATGATGAGACTCCCCCGAACATTCAAGATTTAGAGAATGCATTCTTGTTATTGGATTCATGGTTTAGAGCAATGCATAGCATCTTAGAATGTCAAGGAGGGTAGTAATACTCATAGTTTGAAGCTTTGCATCCTAAATTCCTTAATTAAAATGTTATGTTATATTTAACTTTAAGTTCCAATGAATTGCATACTTTCGATGAAGACGATATGGCAGCATCATTTGACGTAATTGAGGATCCAAGACTTTTCTATTATTAGTTGCCATTGGCTTAATTTTTTCTACAAAAAGGACCTATTTCATGGTTTTATTATTGGCTTGCTTTCAACTTTGAGAAGGAAATAACGGTTATTTTATAGTTAAAAGACTAACTTGATGGAAAAAAATTTTTACAGGACGCAATTTTTTGACAAATATTTAACCTTTCAGAAGGGAAATGGCTGGAATTTAGAGGCATAAATGAACTGCAAATCCATATTTTGAATCATGGAAAAAGGTATTAATCACTAATTCATATTTGGTTCCCCAATATTGGTCTAATCCAGTTCTTTAAATGTTATATATGATGAATTTGGGCATCTTGCGTGTAGGAGTAAATATTGAATACTTGATTACATACGTAGGGAGTGTTTTTTGAAATTTCTATAAGTTTTGAAGGGTTAAAGATTTCTCATTGACTCATAATTTAAAGCAATTTGATGTAAATTATATGTAACAACAGTTACTTCGAATCTTTTTTTTTTTTCGCTTGAAGTTCATACCAACACTAATTTGGACATATTAGGTCAACATGATGGTCATGTGTCAAGGACTAGTGCCTTCCTGTGCTACAGTACCAGAGTTGGCATACTTTGAGCTAAGTCTCCTTATAGGATGTGTCCAATCTCTGTCAATAATAGAATTTTTAGTTGTTTTACACGATAACTTTGCACAACATGGAAATACCTCACCTATAAAACAACACACAGAAATACCTAAATTCGAAGATACGTCAACCAGATTTGGCAATTATTAGATGATCCACCTAAATTCACGCACTGCTATCGGGAGGCTAACACAGTTGCTGATGCTTTATCTAATGTGGGTATATCTCATCCAGATAAACAAATTGAGGTTTACGATGCTTTCAGTAAATTCCCAAGGTTGGCTCGTGGGGCAATCCGTTTGGACAGAATAGGGATACCTTCAATTAGAAAAATGAGGATTATGTAAGAAGAATATTTGGTTCTATTTTCCATGAATAAATAAATAAAAAAAAAAAAGAGTAAAAAAAAAAAAAAACACAGAAATACCTCGTTCATGTACTGCATAACGTGGAAGGCCTTTATCTCACGCAACTTTGAGTTACTCATGCCTAGTTTAGAGCGTAGGAAAGAAAAGAAGTAAGGAAAAAAGGGGGAACAAAAAGAAAAGACAAATAATTATTTTTTTTTCGTATACCGTTCCGGCGTAGCAGAGGATAAAGGCAAGGAGCAAAATTATTAATACATGTAATTCACACATTTACTCTCAAATTTAAACTTACAGGTTCTTGTACTGATGATAAATGTGACAATTTCTGGGTTTTCAGCTAATGGCCTTTTCTTATTTTTATTTTTTCATTTCTCTTTACTTTTATGAGAAGTTTGGGTAAATAACCTCATCCATCCTTGAAGTTTAACTCATGACTCTATTTTGCCTCTCGAGTTTAAATAGAACCTATTATGTTTCTGAAATTATATATCGGGTTTTGAAAGGTGCCTAAGTAAAATTCTATCCAAAATCAACTTAATAGATGCCAATCAAGTGAGAGACTTGCTATATCTCCAAAGGCATTGATAAAAATTATAAAAGCCTAAACCTATACCTTCAGACAAAGTAAATAAAGGGAAAGGCACTTGCCATCTATTGCATTATCAGGGCAAAATTTTACACTCAACTTCATTGTTTCTAATTTTGTATATATGTGTGCATACAAACACACACATATATACATATATGTATATATGTATATCTATATGTGTGTGTATGTATATACACACACACACACACACACATATATATATATATATATGCATGTATGTATGTATATGTATATGTATACATACATGCATTTGTATGTGTGTGTATGTATATATATACATACAAATATACATAGATACATAGATACACACAAATATACATGTGTATGTATATATGTATACATACAAATATACATAGATACATAGATACATACATAAATATATATATATATATATATATATATAAGTAGAGAGAGAGAGAGAGAGAGAGAGAGAGATAGAGAGAGAGAGGGAGATCAAAAGATCAAATGGCAGGAGCTAGAGATCAGATGGAGAGGGAAGATGAGTGAAATGACTTGCAAGAATGGTTTTAAGTTTTTCGATTGACGTGAGCAAATGATTAAGGGTCTCGATTATCAAATTTTGCCCCAATAATGCAAGAGGTGGCAAGATTCATTCCCTCCCATGTACTTGGTTTATTGTGGTCAACTTAGGGTTCCAAATCTAGATGTCTAACTTTTTCTGTTTGTTGCCCATAGAGAACTCGTGTTTCTTTCGTGGTTATTGTCCATCATGCCAATTTGGGCGAAGTGTGTTTTATGGGCCTTTTGAGACCTAATTCATAAGGCAAAAGACACAGTAGGTTCTTTATGAACTTGAGTGATGAAATAAGAAGATGAGCCAATGGTGAAGGAAGGATGAAATCATTTACCCTATGAATTAAGTTTTCTTTTAGGTATAACCATTCCATTTCTCTCTCTCTTTCCCATGCATTGATATATTTTTTTGTTTTTTCTTCTCTCCATCTCATTTCATCCCAAACGAATGTAAAGACTTCGAGACCCGTTTATCTTGCAATGGGGTATTGAGAGTTGAGACAATTGGGTTCTGCGGCATGGCCATATCTACATATAGTCAATGTGCCCCTACTAGGCTAAAAAAATTAATAATAAATATGATAATTTCAAAAAAAAAAAATTTGATTTCACATTAGTAATTTGTTAACGTGCCCGAACTGATCAAAGAAAAATTATTAATTTAGATATTAAATTTTAGAAGAATTTATCTATCTTCTATTCACTAATTCGCAGTAGGTCAATGTGTACGTGTGTTTAATGATAAGAACTTTTAATAAAATAACATGTGTAAGCCATATGTTTAATAACCACAACAACTAAAACCATTGTTTTAAGGGGTTATAAGGTAACAAAAAACTCTAGTGATTTAACGAGTTCATTAGACACTGGTGAATTTTATTTGTGAACCTTTAAGAAATTTATTTGGCTCTGCCACTGTAAATATAGGGTGTGGCTGTTTTTGCTTTACTGGTTTCAACTACTCACTTGGTATTAATGAAGAAATCTACTGCCAAATGTCAACCTAAGGACTGAAATAGAGGACTAATTAGCCTTACCTCTAAGGTATGTGCATTTGAGGGAGACGGGCAGAAGTAAGTTTCTTGAGAAAAGCTCATAGATCTCTCAGAGAATTGATAACAAGAAAAATAAACAAAATCTGGGGATGAAAAAATCTAGTTTAGAATATCTAGATCCATTAGAGGACTGACACAATATCCGGAATCAGGGTGAGAAATTTTATTTTAAAATTATTTCCCTGAATAATGGACCGTTGATTAATTTAATTGCATTAGTGTGATTTTTAACCAAATTTGCTCCTTCCATCAATAGCATATTTCCTGTTACCTGTTGTCCAGTTAAACAGCAATACAAACTGGAAGAGGAATGAGTTTCCATGCTTAAGAACATGTTAGTTTTTAACACTGTTCAGCAGAATTTGCCAGTTGAAATCCTGTATTCAGATGGTGAAGGATCCTCTCAGCTTAAACTAAATGAAAGACTAGATCTGATTCACCTTCCCAATTTAGTTGAGCTTAACATCATAGATACTCAGCTTTAATTCTCTGTTATGTTAAAAAAAAAAAAATAAGATTCGAATAAAACTGCATCAAGTGAAATATAATATATACTTTAATAAATTTTCACTAAATTAGAACATATATGTATTCGTGCAATTTTGTATAATGTGGTTTTTATTTTTAATAATGAAGTAAGAAGGCTTGATAAATGTCTTTACTGCACTTTGTCTAGGTGGGTTGTGATTTTCACATAGAGCTTTTTAGATGTTTCAATACATTCAACAAAGCTACTAATATATCGTATTATTTTCAACTTTGAATAAGCTATGAATAGTAAGATAACACATTGAAATAACTTGAAATTTAAACTAAAAACCATAATTAGGTCATTTTAAGTAATCCTATGGAAGCCTTAAAAGGTAAAATGAATGTAAATACACATGTATTGGTGTTAAGGAAAAATTTGTGATACCTTGAAGGCACCAAAAACATGAGTGACAAATTTTGTTATGCTAGTAATATGTTTTGTTAGGTAACTATAGTAAGTTTTCTCCTAGTTATGATGAAATTAGGTTTTTTGGATGATAAGTGGGTACATCTTGTCATTCACAACGAGACTTGCTAGTTGCACACCGCAACTTCCTAACGTTTGAACCAAATTTGACATTCATTTCTTGTTAGGCACCATAACATTTTCCCCGTGTTAAGTATATGTGCATGCACATTTAGATCTTGAATTCATAAGCTTTGGGTCTTGCCGAATGGAAACTGAATCAAACCATTGATTGCCCTTTTGTCATTACATAAATTTCTGTTGACGTAATTTAGTATTTGCAACTTGTACCTTTGACCACATGGTGGTTCCTTCAAATGATTTTAGTGCCGCAAGTACAATAGAGCGCTACCGGAAGAGTATCAAGAATCTCCGTCCAAGCAAACGAATGGATGTAGAACATTTACAGTCAGAAACTGATCTGCATACTCCGGTAAATCTTGTTTCATTATGAGTTGCTACTGCAGTTGCTAGTAAACCTATAGCTGTAGCTGTTTTTCCCTTGCGTTGTTTCCTAGAGAATGATCATGCAAGCAGTAGCAGCTGTGTCTTTTTATGCTTCTGGATTTAAGTCGGTATCTTTAATTATGTTCATGGAAAATGTTTCGTATTGGGAAGCATCTTCTTCATTTTTTACCCCCTCGACTGGATATATGTTCTTTTTGCATGTCCTCTTCACTAAAGAGTTAATTTCTTGTGTGGCTGTGCTTTATGTGCTTATAACCATTTGTGTGATGTTTCTCTTGTTTTGTTTTTAGTGAAGAATGTCATCTAGTTGAGTTTTACGCACCATTTTCACAAGTGGAATTACCTTTTGAATTATTTGAATAGCGGGTATTAAGGTTCAATTGTGTCCTGGTACCAAATATTAGTTGTATGAAAGGCTATGAATTGCCAAAAACTTGATAATGTTCTACCCTACACTCTAAATTTTAATTTAATTCCCTCGTTAATTGCATATATACAGGTCATGCATGGCTCGTAATACAAGAGAGCTGGGATCGATCCCACGAGGATCACTTCCAACTACTAAGTTTCTTAACTCACTCTATTATCTAAACTAATCAAGAATTTTAACTAAATAAAATAACCATAATGCTAAAACAATGCAAGGAAAATTAACAACTTGAAGAAACTTAACTAAACACAAATGTTCTAGGATATAGAATCCACTAAATGTACCTAATTATGAATGGAATAGTCAATTATCACTAATGTTTTTGTCTTGCTAAGGATACACTTCATTCAAATCATCGGAACTTGCTCTCGCCAATGAATCGAATTTAGCCAACACTATAGTTTCTCTACTCTCGTCATGAAATCTAAAGTGAAGACTTAATTTAGATCTAGAAATACCAAAAACATCCACCTAAGTGTACCACTACTTTCGTGTGCCTACTCCTTATATTCCACCTATTCCATTTTGATTATTGTCAACTATTCTCATAGATTAAAACAACTATCATGACTTGTAAATGGTGATCAAGCATTCACAAGTGTTAAAGTAAGAATAGATGAACTAACAAGTACAATATATAGTAATAATCACTTTATTCAATCATAATCAAGGCTCAAATAGGTTAATCTATCCCTAGAACAAGAAGATTTAACTAAACATAGTAAATTTAACAACAAAGTTCATATCTTCAATGTAACTAAGCATCAATGAAACAATAAAGAGAGTGAAGAGAAAGAAATGCTTATTCAAGTAAAGAGACAAGATCTTCAAGTTTCATTATCTTCATTGCCATAAAAAATACATTATTACATCAAGAGTTCTTAAAGTTCTTCAAAGGAAATAAGAACTAGATCTAAAAGTACACTAAAAACTAAGCTATAGAGAGGAAAGAGAAGGAAAATTCTACTTTTTGCCAAGAGCTAATATTCCCTCTCAATAATGTGTTTCTTCCTTGTTAAGAGTCAAGAAAAGAAGCTTTTAGATTCCCATAAGTTGATACAAGTTATCCCTTTTTGTCTTGTCAATGACGGAGAAAGAAACAAAAGTCATGCAGGTTAGCAACTTGCAACTTGCAGCTGTCATGAATCCCGTGAGGGATTCTCCCAGAGATTATGCAGAACATGTGATTCTTTGCTAAATGGATATTCTGCCTATAATCCCTTGCAGAATCCACAGAGTAACCCTCGAGATTTTCTCTCTCTCTCTTTCTTTTTTTAAAGAAATATCCTTGAATTGCATCACCTACTTTAGACATTGTTGTGACTTTTTCAAGTTTCTAATTCTTGCTTTGTTAGATCACCATTTTGCTTCCAATTGAGTTTGATCGTTTTACCTACAAAAATAAAGAGATTTTGCAAATAAAATGACAAAATCACAACTAATTCATCTATCAATTTAAAATGCAAATTAAAGACAAAAATGAAAATCTTATACCAATTAATCTTACAAATTGACTCAAAAACAATAGGAAACACATTCAAAAAGATCACAAATTTAGCCATATCACGTTCAAAGTCCAAAATAAGCATTTTCTTGGCATTCACTTTCTTGATTTCTCGGAATGGCAGTCAAGATTCTTCTGAACTATTATTGAATAGCCGTAATGTCTTACATTCACTTGATTTCTTGATTCTGAGAATCTCATTCAAGATCATGGATCAGTGCCAACTGATTCTTTGCCTTAAAGATCTTGTCCACGGATTTATTCTGCTAAATCTTTTGATCCTTGCTGAGCATACTCTTATTTGTGCAGCATTTTGAAGAAGAGGTTGCAAACCTGAGGAAAAAAATTGAGCTTCTTGAAGAAACTAAACGGTGGTGTCCTAACATTGGCACATTTGTTCAAGTTTTAAGCAGAACTCATCCTTATCGTATAACAACATGAATTTCTTACAGTTTTTGGTGATTTAAAACAACATAATTTTTGTATGTAGCAGAAAGTTCTTGGGAGATGGTTTGGATTCCTCCTCTATTGATGAGTTGGAACAAATAGAACATCAGTTGGAGAAAAGTTTAAGCATCATTAGGTCAAGAAAGGTACGTTTTGCGATAGACATCTCTACAATTACATGATCAGAATGTAGAATTTGATGGTCAAAATCGAATGTTCAATTCTTTTGCAGATCCTATTCTCTTGCGAGCAAATAAATCAGCTGAAAGAAGAGGTAAAATACGCATTTGAAGCTTCAGGAGTTGCTTATTCTTTCATTCACATTTTAGTCCGAAATAAAGTTTATGCATTTCATGTTAATTGGCATGGCTAATATTCTTTGCATATCTTGTCAAATTCAGGAGAAAATTCTTAGGAGGGAAAATGCGGAATTACGGGAAAAGGTAAGTCACTCTTGTTACTCATAACGTTATTAATTTATATATATCTAGAATGACCACAAATAAAAAGTCTATTCCAACTTTATGATGTTGGATAGGTATGGACGCTGGAAGTCAGTATATCGATTCAATTTTTTTTTAACAAAATAACCAAATTCTTTGAAAGGAACTCCAATGTAAGCGAAAACTTGAAAGAAAAAAAAGTATTAGATAAGGTCTGAAACTACAAACATTTATTTCAAATTCACATATTGTATAACTTTTAATGGTAACAATAATGTAATCAATGTTGAGGATTTAAGCTGATGGGCTATAAGATTTATCACCCCCAGAAGTATTACTACCATTAATGTTTAGTTTGCATATGCCAAAGCTATTTATTGGTAATTTATATTTTTTTGGAAAATGAATTTGCAGTACGAAGAGCGACAGTTGGAACTATCGATTGGTCAACAATTCTTATCACTAGAACAAGGAAAAGAGGTAGAAACGCAGCTGTTTATCGGACTTCCTGATAGTTAAAATTGTCAAAAAAAAGAAAAAAGAAAAAATAAACAATATATCAATCTACGTGACTTTGTATAATTTGTTTTCTTTACTTCTTTTGTATAGATCCAACTTTCAGGTATTTTTAGGGGCATATATAATGCTTGGATAATGAGAAGTAGGAAGTATCTAATATCGGAAAAAACAAAGTTGTGTATGGCTGCGTCCTTTTGTATTATTAAATCCTATTGGCCTACTGCCTTATTATGCCGTCTTATTTTATAGAATTACCGTTAAAATGATGCAAAAGGTTGGATGCAGATTTTACTGGCATTAGATGTTGATAGGGTCACTGGCAGATAAAAAGAAAAAGGGCGATAAGATAAATTGCTTTATATTTACTTAAGATGCCAAAATTATATCCTTCTAAAAATTAGATTTTACCCATAAGCCTTTTACAAATATGCAAGGGTACCTCAAATATATATTTAAAAAAAAAACAGGGATGAACATTTGTATCTAAAACCTGTAATTTTTGGTATCATTCTTAACTTTTAGGCATTGTTTGTTTTGAGGGGATGAGACAGAAAGGAAATGAAGCATAAAGTTTTTAATATTTGATTGAATTTTGAGAAGGGAGAGAAAGGATAGAAAGGGAAAGAAAGGGATCATTCTCGTTATTTTTTATGAGCCTCTTTTCCATCCAAACGTGCACAAAAATGAAGTGAAAAGAAATTAAGATGAATGAGAATTTAAAATTTTCCTAGAATACCTAATATGTTTATAAATTAGATTTGTAAATTATGGATAGAAATGTAACAAATGCATGATAGCTTCTTTACTTTCCTTTCCTTCCTTAATCCAAATAATATTTTCAATATTTCCATTTTTTTTTCTCTCGTATCTAATCCAAACAAGATGGATAGAATCCACCTCACTTTACTCTTCTTTCATTTCTTTTCTATTAGAGTTCACTCCTTTCCTTTTCTTCCATTTCCTTCAATCTAAATGGTGCCTTAGATCAAGACCTTTTCAACAACCTCAAATGTACATCCTTATTAATTTAGCCCCAAAACTCAACTTTTGATTTTATCACTACAGACTAACCATCATACAATTGCTACTTTGTTTTGATATACATTTATCTTTTCTCAGTATATGTCATACTCAATTCTCCTTTATTCCTTCTCTAACTGCCACATTGTCTTGAAAGATATTCAACTTTCCTTAGGGAGTATGTGGCAAGTTCCATTCTCATTTGTTCATCCTCAAGGTCCTAATATATTAAAAAAGAAGAACACAATAAATGATTTGCAAATATTTTCAGGATCACTATTTTTAAAAAAAATGCCAATGCATTATTCCACAAAAATAAAAAATCAAAGGAAGGACAGGTCCCAACTAGCCATACCAATCGAGGATAATGAGACACTTCTCATAGTAGAAAAATTCGTTACCACAAAAAATGCAAATGACAAAGAAAAGTCAGAGTCATTAACAAGTGGTAAGAGCCGACTGCAGCCAGAAGCGTACACAAGCACGTGACGCCGTACGAACGAACAGTGACACAAGTCCTCGACGGACAGTGACATCTTGCCAAAATTGTACGGGCAAAATCATCAAACTCGGTTGGTAATGGAACGTCGTTTAGTTTTATCCCAAGAAAGAAAGAAAACACGCGCTTTACTGATTATTCTGTGGTTGAGATTTGAGACTTATGAGATAAAAAAAAAAAAAGAAAAAGACTACAAAGATATTGAAGAATATCATTTCTCTGTACATCTTGCCTAAAAAATCTCTCTTTAGGGTTTCTACTAGTGTCTTGCCTACCCAATATTTTCCAGCTTCTGTCATCTCCCATCTTGCAGATCTGAGACTTCCCAGAAAAGATATTGTCTGGTTTTCCATTTTTTGGGGTCAATCAGTGCCACTCCCTCCGGGTTCTTGCCGTTTTTTGGAAACTTTTTTGTTCATGTGTTTATTTTAGATTTTTCTTGATCAAGTGTTTTTTGTTGTTTGCACTTTGACCCTTTATGGTATCATTGATTTGTCTTTCAGGCTTGTCGGTGGATTTAGCACCTCGTTTCTTATCTACAATTGTAAGAATGTTGAGAGGGAAAACTCAGATTAAGAGGATAGAAAGTGCAACAAGCAGACAAGTGACATTGTCAAAGAGGAGAAGGGGAGTTCTCAAGAAGGCCTTTGAGCTATCTCAGCTCTTTGTGATGCGAAGTTGCACTGATCCGGGGTAGCTTCATGAACTCTCAAGTTCCAGGTACATTTACCATCAACATTCGCACCTGATCTGCTCATAATCTCTATCTGTCTCTCTTCAGCAAAACGGTATCATATTAATCAGATTTTTTGTCCACTTTTACAACGGATTGGCCATTAATCATTCCAAGCATGTTCTCAAGCTTTTGTCAGGGCTAAGGGATCAGGGATCCCTTATCTGGTTTTATGTCCGTTCTTATGAAATCAATTTTTACCAATAAGTGCAGTTTTTTAATGAGTTTGACTGAAGGGGTTTAGATATTATTTCGTCCGGAGGTGCAAATAATAGATCCTTGGAACTTGGAAGCACAGCAAATCTTAGATAGACAAAGATACACACAATTTGAGGAAGTACCAATGTCATCAACAGTGCTAATTCTGCAACAATTTTTTTTTTTTTGGAGATGATGTTTTATGCCAAGTTGTCAACTTAAAGAAAATAAAAATCAGTAGCAAATGTTATGAGACGCAGCATTTCATCCCAACAAGCAGTAACCTTGCGTAGTAGTTCTTAGATCACATTGTGTACATAGACTATGAGGGGCTATACTGAATACAAGTGGAAATGGTACCATGTCTATAATGAAGCCGGTAAGTAGTTGTTGTGCTTTTGTACTTGTTCTTTGAAAATGTCGAATCACACCAGCCTATATGCATTAGTACTACGAGGAAGTGGACCTTCTCAATTCCCTCCGAACTTTCAAGATTGAGAGAATGCATCCTTGTTATTGGAGTCATGGAGAACGTCTAAGCAGGATAGGAGTACTCCTATTTTGAAGCTTTGCTTACCTAAATCTCTTAAATTAACCTGTTATGCTAAGTTAAGTTCCAATGAGATGTATAATTTCGGTGGAGACAATATGGCAGTACCATTTGACGCAATTGAGGATCCAAGGCTTTTCTATAACTTACTTTTATTAGCTGTGTTGGTACAAATTTTACTTGGATTGGCTTACTTTCAACTTTAAGAAGGAAATAACGGAATACTTTATTGTTAAAAACCTAACTTGATGAAAGAAAATTTTTTTAATGACACCAATTTGACAAATATTTTCAGAAGGATAAGGTTGGAAGTTGAAGGTATAAATGAATTGCAAACCCAGGCATTAGTGGCAACCCGGGCATTAGGGGCGGGTGTGGTGTGCTCAGGGATTCATTTGGTGCATTGCTATTTAGATTTTCTACTCCGTTTAGGGAGCTGACATATATCCAAGTAGAGATCAAGGTTGTTTGGTGTGCAGCAATGCCTTCTTCGGGGGTTCATGCGGATTCGGGTGGAGGTGGACTCTCTGGTGCTAGTTAACTTACTAGAGAAAAAATCAAGGTGTCTGTGGTTAATTCCGTCGGAGCTAGATGCGTTAGTGGCAACCTAGGGGTTGGAATGGACAGTGGAGCACTGTTATCGCGAGGCAAATTAGGTGGCGGACGCCTTAACCAAGGTGGGGGCACAGTCTAAGGGTACTGTCTTGTATACTTCACAGTCAGAGTTGCCACGATTGGCAAGGGGGGCCTTAGGCTTGGATAGGGCACAGATTCCCACTATTCGTATTCGAGCTATTCGTCATTAAAGTCTTTGTAATCTTGCTTCCTGGCCTTCAATAATAATAGGGGTGGCGTCCCTCCCCGCATAAGTGGTTAGCCAAAAAAAAAAAAAAAGAATTGCAAATATCATAAATGAACCCTCGTTTTGAATCAAGAAAAAAGGTATTAATGACTAAATCATATTTGGTTCTCCAATATTGCTCTGATCGAATTTTAATTTTTGTATATGATGAATTTGGGTGTTTTATAAATAGAAATAAATATTGAGTACAGTTTTTGAAGATTTAAAGATTTCTCATTGACTCGTAGTTTAAAACAATTTGATGTAAATTACATATGTCAACAATTATTTGGAATCCTTTTTTTTAATTGAAATTCATACCAACAATAATTCGGACACGAAATTCCTTCCTAAAATTCCTAAATCAACATGATGGTAATGTATTAAGGACTGGCTCCTTTCTGTGCTAAACTATAAAAGTTGTGATACTTTGAGCAAAGTCTCCTTATAGAAAGTATTCAATCTCTGTCAGTCTCTTATTCTTTGCAAAAATTTATTTGTCAATCACTTATTCTTTGCAAAAATTTATTTTGTCACACATTTTCTGTCAAATACAAACTTATTGGGTCTTGTATTAGTGATAAATATGACACTTTATGGGTTTTAAATTAATGGCCTGTTCTCATCTTCTTTTCATGTCTCTTTACTTTTATGGGAAGGGTGGATAGATAACCTCATTCAACAGTTTAACTCATGACCCTATTTTGTTTCTTTAGTTTAAATAGAACCTATTGTGTTTTTCGAATTGCCTATTGGGTCTTAAAAAAGGTGCCTGAGCAAAATTCTATCCAAATTGGCTTGATAGATGCCAATCAAGTGAGAGACGTGAAAGTTCTCCAAGGGCAATGATAAAAATTATTAAAGCCTAAACCTGCACCCTTGGTTAATCACAACAGATTAAGTAAATAAAAGGGAAAGGGTCTAACACATAATGCATTATTAGGACAAAATTTGGTAATCAACTTCATTCTTTCTAAATTTGCACATATATATGTACACATATTCACACACATATACTACACAAACACATACATGTACATATACATACACATATATACATATAAATACATACATACATATATATATATGTGTGTGTGTTTGTGTGTGTGTTGAGAGAGAGAGAGAGAGAGAGCACAAATAGAAAGAGCTAGAGATCGTATCCGATGGAAAGTGTAAATGGGTGAAATTACTTGCAGGTGTGGTTTTAAGTTTTTCGATGACTTGAAGATAGAGGCACGTTAGATTTATTAGTGGCCTGGTCTATTTCGATGTATTTGTCAGTAATTATACCTATTTGCTCTCTCTTTTCCTCTCTCATTATTGAATCTATAGCTCTGGCCATTTGCTGTCTGTTTCTCTCTCTCTCTCTCTCTCCCTCGTCCTCTCTTTC